ACTAAAAATAAACCATCTGTATCCTGGAAGGGTACTAGGAATAAACCATCTGTATCCTGGAAGGGTACTAGGGACAAACCATCTGTATCCTGGGAGGGTACTAGGGACAAACCATCTGTATCCTGGGAGGGTACTAGGAATAAACCATCTGTATCCTGGGAGGGTACTAGGGACAAACCATCTCTATCCTGGGAGGCTTATAGGAAAACCATCTGTATCCTGGGAGATTTGATAAATTTGAATATATATTTTCTATTTTATTTACAGAACCACGAGATATCATCTCAGAGCTTGTCAAGCATAAGCCATTAGTGAGTGAACAAAGAAAACAACCAGTTTTCTCACAGCTTTTATCTGACTGTAACGTAATAACAGGAGGTAGAGCTGTTTTTGAATGTCAAGTTCGTGGAAAACCAAAGCCATCAATTTACTGGTATCGCAATGATCACTTGTTGAAGGAAAGTGAAAAAATTACTATTGATGAGAACGAGAACGGTTTATGTCGACTTATAGTTGCTGATGTCTGTGAGGAAGATGCTGCAGAGTACACATGTGAAGCTGTCAATGAAGACGGTGATGCCGTCTGTTATGCACAACTTAAACTACAACCAACAGGTATTATATCAAGCAATACTGTAAAACATGTCTTTTTCGCAAGCATGTCTTTTTAGCGAATTTAACGAGAGAACTGATTTGCTAATTCAAGATGTTGCTAATGACTTTATTATAAATTCAAAATGGCCAAGGCTTGGGGATTTGTATACAGTAATCCCGAATTTAAAAATCTGGGGCGCTTCCTAATTACACTTGACAGTTTTTCTTTTTCATGGAGGTGATAAATGTGCATTTGTTTTGGCACGCAACAGACAAGTATTGTGAAAACAGGAAATCAACAATGACAAGAGAGATTCGCTAAATCAGCATTTCGCTATTACGTCATTTTACCACAATTCGCTAAAACTGCATGTCGCCTTTTCAACATGTTTTACAGTATGCTGTAAAATACTTTATTTTAGCTGGAATAATTTTTTGCTGAAAACATTTTGGCTCTTTTTTTCTGGAATTTATTTTCACTGATTTTTGACAAATTGAATGTAAAATATAGGAAAAAATATATAATCGCTGGATTTTATTTCACTGAATCATTCTTTTAGCGAAAATAGTAAAAATTAATTCCAAGTGAAAATAAAGTATTTTACAGTAATACATATACATCTTAAATAAATCAGTCCACAATACTGAAAGATGAATATTATTGAAGAATAATAACAGTGTCATTGTTAGAAAACTATAATTCACATTACATAGAAACATTTTCTTTCCAATTTTTAGAAAATAAATATCATTAAAAAAGTGTATTGAACACAGCAATATTTACTAGACCGTTAACTAATTAATATTGTAAATATCTCCTTTTGATCTCGTCCATATGATTAATTGCGGCAACACCTGCGAATTTGGACTACATTATTAGCAGAATAATTAAAATATGGATCAAACCATTAATTTGCAGGGGAGGGTGTCATTAGACAGTAGTATTATTTTCTGATTTTAATGAATTAAGAAACTTTCCTCATATTTTGACAAATTTAATTACATTGGAAGAAATGTCCTAACCAAATATAGGTTAAATCGACTGTGTAGTTTGCACTGTAATGGACACAGTTATTTGGAAATTTTAAATGCACTCAAAATTCTTGATATTTTGCTGAGTGAAAAGATTCATCAAATAAATGACAAAAAGTGAAAAAAAATCAGGATACATGAACTTGTTTCCATAGAAACAATGTCTTTGCAATTAGCAGCCATTTTGGATTGTAAAATTCATACAATTGAAGCTCATATTCAAAAACTAGGTCTGGTTCCCTAATTCAAAATTTAAAACAAGAAAAAAAAAAATTTTCAGGAAATGCCTGTCTAAAAAAGGGTGTTATTTATAATTTTCTGTAAATGTGATTTGGTCCATAACTAACAAGGAATGAAAGCTCACAGTATCTTAAAAACAGCATTGCTGTGTCTGAAATAATATTAAACTGTCCATGCAGAAATGTATTAATGATGATTATCTCCTGTACCCTCCTGTTCAAATTATTCGAGGGGAGTGACCAATTGTCTTGAAGTCAGGTTTGCAACTTTGAAAGAAAAAATTACACTTTTAGAGATAAAAATTGCTGTGTTTTATGATATATAATGTTCTTGAAAAGAAATATAGCAGGATTAAATGTTACACGTTTTCTAGTGTATTTCACTATCTGGGAAGGGTTATTTTACATTTACCAAAACACGCTTATGTGTAAAATTCAAGTTGTATTTTCAAGGTTGGGCAAGACCATAAATGGCATATATTACATGGTATAACGAATATTTGTTGTATCCATCATATTGCAATACTTCTTCAGTACTTGATTGGTGATTTCATTCATTTCATTATCCCACTGACATTACTAACTTTGCTGTTGCTGTCATACTAATTCATTTCATCCATTCATTTAATCAGTGCCATTGGACATGGATGATTGGAGTCCACTACCCTGTAAAGGCATCTTCATTGACATTCAACTCAACCAATCAACAGATGCTATTTCAGACATTTGTATAGAAAAGCCTAGATATCAACCAATCACAGTGTCTACTAAACATAACCACCTAGACTTTGGCAAACTCAGCCAATCATCAGATTCTGTTACTGACACTTGCATGGAAACTCCTAGAAAGCAACCAGTGACAAAACACACGCATCAAAATCACCTCAATTTTGGCACACTTAGCCATTCAACAGACAATTGCGTAGGTGTACCTAGAAAGCAACCAATCACTATGCCTACTAATCATAATCACCTGGAAATTAGCAAACTTTGTCAATCAACTGGTTATATTACTGACATTTACATAGAAAAGCCCAGCAAGCAGCCAATCACAGTGCCTACTTATCATAACCACCTGGACTTTGGCAAACTCAGCCAATCAACAGAGTCTGTTACGTCCATTTGCATAGAAAAGCATACAAAGCAATCATTGACAACGTGTACTGATCATAACCATCTGGACATTGGTAAACACGGTCAATCAACAGGTTCTGTTACGGATATTTACACAGAAAAGCCTAGAAAACACCTAGAGACAATGCATACTAATCATAATCACCTTGACTTTGGTAAACTCAGCCAATCAACAGATTTCATTACTACCATTTGCATAGAAAAGCCTAGAAAGCAACCAGTGACTATGCATACTCAACATAACCATCTGGACATTGGTAAACTAAGCCAATCAACAGATTCTGTTACGGATATTTACAGAGAAAAAGCCGGGAAGCTACCAATAAAAATGTTTACTAACCATAACCATCATGACATTGGTAAACCAGATTCTGCTAAGGACACTTGCATAGAACAGCCTAGAAAGCACCCAATCACAGTAGCAACTATTCCTAACCACCTAGACTGTGGGGAATTGCTTGTTAATGGAACACACATGATCAGAGATGGTGAATCTTTCCATAACAATCATCAAGAAACTAATCATTGTATGCATATTTCAGCAGAAGTAGATGCAAATACTAATCATTTAAAAAGCATTAATCATCATCACATCAGCTCACCTAACTATGCAACTTTATTTAAGTCTGATTGTGAATATATGTCACACAAGCCCTGTGACACTAACATAGAACTTTCTTTTAAGCCTTATCACAGTGAACTAACAATAAGTGAAGTAACAGTAGCACATCCTAGGCATGTAAATGTTGAACTTGAACCAATTTTTAACAGTAAGTTTCATATTGATTTCAATACAGAAGAAACTGAAAAACTCAGGAAAAAAGATGTTTTTGATCAGTTCAAGAAAGCTGGAAAAGACAAATCACTATTTACAGAACGTTCTCCGCCTGTGGAGGAAGTCAAAAAGAAAGCACCAAAGAAAATACAACATGCGCAGGAAAGGACTATTGAATTCCAGGAAGCTATAAGTGAGAATTTGGAAAACCAATTTGAAAAAACAGAACAACTGAAAACAAAATCTACAAAATCTAAAGGCAAGGATTCATCTTCAACAGATTTCAAGACCAGAGCTAGTAAGCCTGCTGTTTATACACCTGAAATGACAATTCTACAACCAACAGAAATTACAACTGATATAAAAACAAAAGAGCCAATTGGGGTAAAATCCGGTCGACGATTTGTTGGTGATGAATTGACTCTGGTTACACCAATTGAAACAGTGAAGATTGCTTCCATTTCCTACCCATCTCGACGAGAAGTATTGCCTTTCCAGTTTGTAGCTGAAGAGAAGTCTGTTGTTATGCCAACAGAAACTACTGAAGGATTGTTCACAAGTTTTCACAGGCCTCAGAAATTGCAGTTATCAGAATACCCTGGCCAACAATTTGTAACAGCCAGAGCTAAGGAAGAAAAACCACAAATATTAGAAACAAAACAACAAAAGTTATTTCATGCTGATACTGAACAAACAAAAATTCATATTGAAGAAGTTGAGGAAAGGGAATCCAGGGTACCTAAAAGCCAATACATCACAGCAGTACCAACCAATGTGCAGGAACTGGGGATTATTACACCATTGGAAAGCACAGATGAAATCACATGCCAGGTGTTGCCTAGCATGAAACACAGGGCTAGTGTTCAACATGAAGCAGAAGAGCTTGCTTTTGTTGCTCCTGCAGAAGAAACTGAACAATTCTTTGAAACTCCTATAGGTAGTCAACAAACTAGTATTGAAGCTCATAAAGCTGAAGAATTGGAAATATTGGAACCAGCTGAGTTGATTTTGGGTTTGCAGCCTGGGCCAACTGCTAGAAAAGCATCAGCTCAATTTACAGCAGAGGAACTTGAAGTAGCTGAATTAACTGAAGTTTCTGCACATTTAACATCTAAACGCCCAGAAGCACAAGAACATGCCAGGGTAAAAGCAGAGGAGTTTGATATTGTAGAAACAACAGAAGTAGCTAAAGAGTTACCAACTAGTTTATCCTCAAAACAAGAAAAGGCTAAACTGACAATTGGTTCAGAATCAGTGGAACGTTTATCTACAGATGAAAGTAAGCCAATGCGACGAATGTCCAGTGTTGCAGCAGAGGAAATTGTAGTAACTGCTTCTTCAGAGTTTGCAGAGAACATTTCAATAGAACTGCCCTTACATAAAATAAAAGATCAACATGTTACTGCTGAACCAGTGATGATGGCAGCTCCAATAGAAATGGTTGGAAGCCAGAGTTCTGCTCACATGGAAAAAGAAATTGCCAAAAAACACAAATCTGTAATGGCTGATGAGAGGGCAGTTGTAACTCCTGTTGAATTTGTTGAGGGAATGGAAAAACAAAAATCAACCAGTTTAGAACACTTAAAAATGCAAGCCGAAGAACTTGTAGTTGTTGCTCCAACTGAGATTACTGAGGATATAAGTTTGACATCAGAGGCACAAAAGATCAAACCGAAGGCTGAACCGAGACAATCTGTCCAACTGGAAGTTGCTGCACTTTCAGAATTTGTAGAGAGTTTACCAACAGCAGAACTATCTGAATCTGCGCATCCTCAAAAGACTGATTTTTGTCAAGAACTTGAGTTGACAATTCCTTCAGAAGAAGCTGAAAGTATCACTGTTGCTTCTGGCGAAAAACAAAAACGAGGTTCACTGAAATCGATTCCTAGTGAACTGGGATTGATTGTACCAACTGAAGTAACAGAGAGTGTGTGTTATGACCAAAAGCCAGAAGCCGCGAAAGTAAGGCAGTCTGCCACAGGAGATGAATTGACGATAGTTACACCTTTTGAGACAGTTGAAGGCATATCAGTATCTCAAGAACTTGGACAAGCTTGTGCTCATCAAACCTTAACATCTGAGTATAAACTGACTGTGCCAAGTGAAGTTGCAGAGCTTCAAGATGGTGCCTTACCTGGAACAATGAAAGTGAGACAGGCTGTCACAGGACAAGAACTTGTGGTTGTCATACCCTCAGAATCAGCTGCAGATATGGGGATTTCAGTTGAATCAAAGAAGTTAACTCCAGCAGAAGCCACCCCTGCAGAAATGAAACTAGTCACCCCAAGTGAATATGTGGAAGGCATACATGATGCTAAGCACCAGGCTACTAAATTACAGAAGACTGAAACAAGTAAAGAACTTGTTGTAGTAACACCTTCTGAAGTTACAAGGGATATACAAATATCGGGAGCTGAAACTGAGAAGGTTGAATCATCTGAGACTACTTCAGAAGAATTAAGTTTGGTTATGTCCAGTGAAACTGCGGAAGGGTTACAGACTGAATTAAATACAACCAAGGCAGGTGCTCAGCAACATGGAGAAGAGATGCTTCTAGTGATCCCAATCGAAATGTCTTCAATCAAAGCACCACCATATGTTGAGCAAATTGAGGCTGTCCAAAGAGATGATGAAGAGGTTTTTGAGATGGCAGCTCCTCTGCCAAGGGTTATTGTTTATGAGGGAAAGAGAACACCATCTGAAGAAATTGCTGTTGAGCAATTATCTGTGCAAAGTAGTGTAGTTCCTGAAGTACATGTAGAAGATGTTTCAAAGTCTCTAGAATTTGAAGTTGATTTGGAAGATCCTGAAGTAGAAAAGGCTGTGGTGAAAATTCAGTCAGCCTTTAGAGGATTCAATGTCAGAGCCAAAAGTATTCAAGGTGAGGAATTAATGATAAAATGTTTTTGGCCAAGTTTGCAAATTTAATTTAGAGGGTCCAAAGTCAGAGACAAAAGTATTCAAGGTTCCTCAAAACGTTCAGGACTACATGCTCTACTTGGACTTGAAGACATGTTTCATGCTCAAAGATAATCTTTAATCCAAAGCTTTGTCATCTTTGGATTTTATTCAAATAATGATCCAAGAAATTGTATTTTTGTTGTATTGCACTCAAGAAAAATATAAATAGCTCTTCTAGTGGTGGATCATGTTCTTTTTTAGAACTTAGTACACTCAGAAACTAGAGGCTGATATTTACTTTTAAAAATGTTGAATTTAATTATACTTGATTTTACAGCTCCTAAGTTTACAAGACAACTTTCTGACCATGAAATTATTGAAGGAACCACCATACAATTAGAATGTCATGTCCAAGGAATACCAACTCCAGATATAGAATGGATGAAAAATGGAGTTGCAATAACTGAAAGTAATAAACACTATGTATTTGCTGAAGATAAGGAGAAGTGTGTTTTGGTCATTCACAATGTGACAGGAGAGGATGATGGTACTTATATCTGTAAAGCTACAAATAAGGCTGGAACTGCTACAACTGCAGCTGAACTTGTTATAGAAGGTGAGTAGTAAAAAATTATTCATTTCAGCTTTTTGTTGGGTTAAAAATTTATTAAATAATATTTCAATCTCAAGTTGTTGTTTTTAGTAATGGATCCTTGCATGCATTATTGGGCAGAACATACATTTTTTTCTGGGTAATCAACTTTATCAGTTTTAACCCCCGAGATGAAAATGTTTATAAATACAAAGTCAAGTCTAACAACACACTACTCTCAGATGAAAGAGCTCAGAAAATGTAAGAACATGCAATTTACAGCTTTTTCATATCACTTTTCAGTCTCTAGATATTTAACTTTTCATTAATTTATGTAGTCCACCATCTTGATTCTTCAGCAAAGGATTATGGGTAAAGTATGATATCATTTATAAGTGATATAAAAAAACTGTAAATTGCATTCTTCTACATTTGTGGAGGTCTTTCTTTAAGGAGCATTATGTTGTTTGGTTTGACTGCCCCTTTAATTAAACGGCTACAGTTGTCAAACTATGGCGTTATTTTGTGCTATTTGACTACGTATTTTAGGAATTACATTACAACTCATAATTTTCGACCCTAGATTAAAAAATCCAGAACATGCTTGTACAAATTATTTTTAATTTATGCCCATTCTATTCAATATACTAATATTCTTAGGTAATTTATTCAAAAACTCAGCACCCTCTTTCTGCTTATTCAGTAAATGATGTTAATGTCACTTTTCTTTAATTTGCAGGATCAGCATCTTCTGAATATGAAACTGCACCATCTGCAGAAGAAAGTGTGCCAAGGTAGATTAATTTTTCACCCAGTTTTGCATCGTTTGTAAACCATATTAATTTTGCAAGGCAGATTTAGTAGCAGTTGAAATGTCATTTGGGTTCTGTGACTTTAGCGAACAGCATGTACATTGCAATCTGACTTGTTAAAATCAGATTGAACTGGTCAAAACTAGTATCATGTATTTGAGCCTGGGAGTTATAAAATGTTATCACTGTTGAAAAAGATATCATATCTCTTGAGTTGTTCTTGCTCTGAAAAACTTATTGTTGTTCTCAGCTTGTTTTTTCAATATCTGGAGTTTCAAAAGGAACTTAGATCAACACAGGATTTTCTTTGCTAAATTATTCTTTGCTGTATTAAATTAAAATTTTGTGGTTCCCAAATTGCGAATCTGCGTTTTACTCATTTTCCAACCTAAAATGATCGCAAAGTCGGATTCAAACTACAATGAGATCAAATCACATTGAAACAAGTTCTTGTTTCCATGATTTTTATTTGGACTTTTTCACTCAGCAAAGCATCAAAACATTATTTGCATATTTATGCATGTGTTGTTGCATACTAGTACATAAATTATCAAACTTTCCTATTTCCTTTTAATTGCAGTCAAGATTCCTCAGTAGAGGAATATGTCAGAGCATTGTCAATGCCTGTACCATTGGTACAGATTGGAGTGGAAGAAGTTACACCTCCAGAACTTACAATGAAACTACAAAGTCTTGTTGTTGAAAAAAGAAAAACTGCTAAATTCATGTGTGGAGTAACAGGTATAATAATCACATACTCCTTGGTGTTCTCAACAGAATGGGTTATATTGGGCCATAGATGTGACCATAATTTATCTTTCCACAATCAACATTTTAGGAGACAGTTGCTAGTCTGACATTGTGTGGTCATCTTCACACTGTTTTATGTTCTTTCTAAATTTCACACAGTGTACCAAATGATATATAATGATGATCAGCTCTTTCTCATAGTATTTTTTATCATAGACTCACATATTAAGTATTGGAAGTACATTTTCTAACTGACTATTTGGCAACAGCAACATATTGCTTGTTGGAGTTTTGAAATTACCTGCTGCCACACTGTTAGTCACAATGTTGTTTGAATGATGTATGTGGCACTCAGTGGAAAAGTAAATTAAATCCCTATTAGATATTACTAATTAGATCTGTATTAGAAGCTGTGGCTTCTATTAACCTTTTTACCACCAAATATACAGTTCTAGAAATACTACCGTCAATACAAATAAGTGAGTCGGTGAAACTGGTTATCTTGGGCTGGTTGGTAGTGACCTTGGTTACTCACTATAAGCATGTATTACATGCATTTTTTTTTTATTATGGCATCAATCTCCCTTATCCTTGTTTATGCAATCATATGTTTCTAAGCATCCTTTGTGTTCTATAAGGCCAAAGGATGTGCTTGATTGACATTTAAACACAATTGGATCTTCCTCACGTATCACGTACCTATTACCAATTTGTAAAACTGACGTAACTAGATTGTGTCTATATGATCGGAAAGGCATCATATAAGTCCATAAAAGAGCACATACTCAGAAAAATTACAACCAGATAGTCATGTATCGATGTACAGTATCAATGTTAGGCAATGGTAAATAATATGGATTCTATGTCCAACATGGCCATCAGTCAGCCAAACTGGATCAGATCAAACAATAAATTGATGTGCCATTATGTTTTGTTTTTTTATGAAATTTGAACAAATTCAGTAAAAAGCATGTAAAAGAAATGGTCATGGATGTTCCTGAGTTTTGGCCATACATTAAAATATTGATAAAAAGCAACATTTTTTAGGAAGGAATGATTCTCACTGCATCAGATAAAACTAATTCCTGATCGTTTTACAGGGATACCAAAACCTGTGGTGACATGGTTTTTTGGTGGTAAGAAACTCATCAATGAAGGTCGCTATAGGATATACCGTGATGTGGACATATACACTCTGGAAATAGCTGATTGTAATGACGATGACATAGGAGAATATATTATCACAGCATCTAATGCTGAGGGACAAGTTTACTGTGCTGGAGATCTAATGGTAGAAAGTAAGTCAAATTTGTAATTCTGTGGGTATGAAAAAAAAATGATTGTTTCAGGCCAGTATGTGTGTTAGTGCAAAGGAACCACTCAGACTTTTTTCAGCAGTAAGTAATAAGCACATTAGTGCCCTCTTGTTTTTGTTGTTGAAGTTTTAGAATTCAGATTTGTCATTCAATTGAAATCACACTAATGCTGCCGAAGCGGTTACCTCCCATAATATGGTTGAGGGTCAAGTGAATTGTGAGTGTCCTCTGTGGTGTAAATCATTTTTACTTTGTTTTTGTTGTTAAAGTTTTAGAATTCAGATTTGTCATTCAATTGAAATTACACTAATGATGCCTTAGCATCGTCCGCCTGCACGGTGTTGTTTCGTTCGGATATTCCTCCCTCTACAACACCGTGCGGTAATTCTATTCATAACCGTGTATGTCACGTGGTTGCGCGATAGAAAGTTTACCGACCAATAGAAAGCTTTGTTACAATGACTGCCAGAAACGGCTGGAGCTTTGCATTCCTGATGTCTTCGGCTTCATTTCTGCCGATATATGTTGCATATGCAACATATTCACCTTGAAAATTCAAGATGGTTCCGGCGAAGCACTCCGCTATCACCTTGAA